TAAACTATCGTGAGTAAATCTTTTTTGTTTTTTTGAAGTATCGCCCTATACAAGCATTCACTGAATTGTAATGAGCAATCTTGTTTTTCTTTTAAGTTATGCCTTGTAAATGCTTAAAACACAATAACATATTTTGCCAGCAAAACACTTCCAAAATGACGTCACAATTTATTCATAAAGTTGATCAATTACAAAAGCAATCATATATTTACAAGAAGCAATCATATAATTACAAAAGCAATCTTATCTTGCACTGCCCTATATTGCACTTGCTTATCATCAGTTACTAAAGTAGACTAGGACCAGTTATCTTACAAATTTAATTGACAAATAAGCAATTAGATACAAAAAATTAAACACTTTTTCAACTTCAAATAACTTGAAACAACTATCTCAATCGTATTAAGCTTATTTTCCATTTTAGAGTTCAAATTCTTCAAACCATCAATCTCTCTATGTAGGTCTAAGTTCTCTTTTTTTCAATTGCAAAATCTCATTCATCATTGTTTACTCTTTATCCTAGCAATATGCTCTCCAAAACTTGGGTCAAGGATCAAAGTTATCATCAAACCAAATGAAAAAATTACAATCAAATTTCAATTCACATGGATCATTACATTGCGATCCACAATTATGACCTAATTCCTCACCATTCTTCTCATCATCCTTTTACAACAATAAAAAACAATAAAAACAATAACAAAACAAATAAAAAAAACTTTACTAAAAATAAACAATAATAAAAAGCCAGATTCTTCATTAAAGTATAGCATAGCAAATTGGTTAAAGACCATAATAGATATAACCAAACCAAAGGAAAGATATCTAAGCAAAGCAAGATCAAGAAGGATTTACATTAATATCTAACCAAATTGGTCAAAGATTCACATTTGCAAAGACAAAAACACCAAAAAAAAAAAAAACAAAAAAACAAAAAAACAAAAAAGCCCTTTATCGAAAATTTTGGACATCCCCAAAACTTGTGTCCATAGTTAAATTGAGTTAGAGCAATTCTCGTAATTGGTTGAAGACCACATTTGTGGAGACCCACAAACTTGCCATAATGAGGAGATGAAGATGGAGAACCAAATTGAAGGATGGTTGATGGCAATTGCTTGAATACATCCTAGGTTCGACGATTGGATGAACAAAAACAAGAAAGATGATATGATTAGAAATTGGAAGAAGGAATTAGAGAAGAATAATAGAACTAAAAGGGAGAATCTAAAGGAAGAAGAAGAAGAGGAACTGAGGGAAAAAGGGCATGTTTTGGACTGTATCAAAAGAACAAATGAAGAAGAGAAAGAAGAATTTCGAGCCTAGGCTAGGGTTCCTACTACAAGCAAATGGAGAAAATGAGGGAAAATGTCGAGAGGGAATTTAGAGCTTAGGGTTTTTGCTATAAGCAAATGGAGGAAAATGTTGAGGAAGAGAAAAGAGATGAAAAATGAAGGTTGCCAAGTTTAAAATAAAACATGGTTATTAGGGCAAAGTGGTCCCCATTTTTAACATAGGTAGCAGTATATGTGGCAGCCCATGTGGAAAAAAAGAAATCTAACAAATGATTTAACTATTGGCCGTTTAGGAATTAATGGTCAACAATGATGGCAACATGAACGACGTTAAGAAAAGGATGACAATGACCAAAAAAAGAGGAGTATGGGGACTACATTTGGCTCTTTGGTGGAGTAAAGGGATGACAATGAACAAGTCCTTAGTAGAGGGGTGAGAACGAATAAAATTTTGAAGTACAAGGACAACAATAGGCTTTAACCCTTTAAAAAATGCCAGTCGTTAGCAAGCTCGATACAACAACTAGCCTATGTCGCTTGGGCTACATTGCCTGACATGCCTGACATGCCTGACAAGGGGCAAAACAAATTAAAGTACTATTTTGTTGATTAAAGTTCAATTTTTTGAGGAGGTCAATGAAAAAATAAGTTTTCAACAATTTTTTAATGGCAAAATACCCAAATCCACCCCCAATGTATAGTGGCAGGGATGGATCTACCCCCAAACAAAAAAGGGAAATAAATCCACTCACAAAGTTTTTGACTTGGACAAATCACCTCAAATTTAACGTGTGACATCATTTGACATAAGCAATCTGTTAATTTGACGTCAGCAATCTGTTAACAAATTAACGGATTGCTGATGTTAGATGATGTTACACATTAAATTTGGAGTGATTTATCCAAGTCAAAAACTTTGTGGGTGGATTTATCCCTGTTTTTTGTTCGAAGGTGGATCCGTCTCTATCACTATACTTTAGGAGTGGATTTAGGTATTTTGCCTTTTTTAATCTCAATCAGTGGCGAAACTAGAATTCTATGCAGGATAAGGTCTTAGACTAAAATTGTCAATTTTCCAATAGTGACCTCACTGTTATTTGGAAAAAAAAATTTTCAATTAACAATAATAAATAAACAAAAATAACTAGTAAATAATGATAATTATTAGTATGTTTTTTTCGCTTATTTACTAGTCTCCAAAGTAATTGTCTAAGGTTGTCAAGCTTATGATCTTTTTATCATTATTAATAATTCTTCAAAAAATAGATAAGTTGAAGAAATTAATGAGTTATCCAACAATTACTTGTTAGACAATGATCTATTTTGAAAGATTTGAGAAAAGTTAACGAACTCATTTTTAAGGTATAATTATTTGTACGATGAATTTATTATTTTATAATTATTTTTTATTTATGCTTAAGAATTTGAACAAATTAAAGAGCATTATTTCTCAATTAATATACAAATCTATTTTTTCTTAAGTCCTAAATTATGTCCATTTTATTAAGATTAATTGTGTTAATGTAATTTGATTTCTTGGTGGTTGCTATATGTGCACCAATTTGGATATTTTTGCATTTGTCAGCAAATTCTCCAAGGCCTGGTACTAATAGTATTCTGGAATAGGAAAATGAAGATGGACATAAGGGAAACAGAGAGAGAAAGTGTATTGTAAGATTTTAATTTTTTTAATGTTCTAAAATTATTAATTACACTAGATAAAACACTAATGAAGTTTTCTTTTTGTAAATAATTTTCACATCATGGAATATTGAAATCCACTAATGGGCCAAAAAATGTCAGAATTAAAAACGAGCAATTAAAGTTTGTTCCTTTAAGTATTAAATTGATGAAACTTAGCGTCTTAATTATTAAGGTAGGGCCTTCCCTCTTTTAGCTTATTTTTTCTTTAATATTTTTAGGGGGAAGGGTAGGGCCTATGTCCAACCCATCCCCTTAGTAGTTCCGCCACTTATTTCAATATAGATGGCTTGTTTTTAACTAAACTAAAGAGAAAATGGTTTCAAGACATGTATAAATTGATATAGAAACACTTTAACCACTAAACTAAATAATAATAAGAAGAATAATAATAGTCTACACAAAAATTATCAATAGATCTTATTGTTAGTCAATTTTTCAGTACAAAAAAAAATTATAAAGGTTACTTTCAAATTAATTTGCATTGATGATAATTTGATAATTACACCATAAGAGAAAAATAAATTAACAATAAAGTCCTTTTCAAAATTTAATTTATAACAAAGTCTTGCAAAATCGAACTAAGCAGAGAAAGGAACTGTAATTGCAACCACGTCACTTGCCAGCATTATAGAGATCCATGATTAAGACTGACAATTGATGGTTGAACAAAACCAACTACAATGTCATTACAAATGTTTTTGTCTCTGAAATTGGTTGAGACAAGGACAAGGGCAAGGACCTAATAGAGAAGCACCAAAAATGATTTATTATAATCTAAATTAAGGATGAATAATTCATCATAACAGTAGCGCCACGAGGTGTGTAGTGGATTTACTAGTTCAACGATTTAACCCAAATTGCTCACCATAGTATTTTTAAAGGAGTGAATGCAAGCTGATTCAACTATCACATTTAATTAAAAAAATCAATCATAATTACTATTACTTAAAATTATGAGATTTAATTAATTATAGGAAAGGATTGTCTGAATTTTTTTCAAAGGAAAAATAAAGGCAAAACCATAAGTTAAGCCCCCGAACTACCCCCAGAATCGTTATTAAGCTCCTAGACTTTAATTAATGCATATAAACCCTTGAACTCTGGGATCAAAGCAATTAAGCCCTTCTTCTTACCAACTTAACTGCCGTTTGGGACTCCGGCGCCTGGCTTTACTGCCGTTTGGGACACACACGGTTGGCTGCTTGGATGGCAAATGATTGTCACGTCATATGCTTATATGACAAGGGATTTGACATTTGAGCAGGATTCTTGAGTTATTTGCTCATTCAATTTTTTTATTTAAATAAAGTTAAATAAAATAAAATTATATATGTAGGTAAAAATATTATTTAAATAAAATTTTAAATTTAAATTTAATAAATACAGTAATAGTTATTAAAATAATTTTATTTGATTTAATTTTAAATTAGTCAACACTAATATAACTTTTAAATTTTAAAAGTTTAATATAAAAAATAATATTACTTAAAATGATAAATTTATAATTATATGATACATGATATTAAATAAATATAATAAAAAAATATATATCAGTCTTAATTTTTAAAATAAATTAAAGTT